AATATCCAGGGATACCAGTATCCCTAAGAATGAGATGATGCGTGGACCTATATGGGTTGGACTTGATGGACGCATGTCTTTATCCAACCCCAAATACTATGTTATATAGAGACTCATAGAACTCGGCGAATGCCCTCTGTATCGCCAAAGGCGAGTGCACTAAGACATCCGGAGACGATGGGATCTGTGAGATGAAAGTATGAGAGGATCTAGGGTGTATGGTCCTAACTATGTCCCTACTACATTTATCTCTGAATTCATATGCTCGATACGCCAACTTGTCGGCATATCTGCGTGTCTAGAGATCCGTAAGGCCCAACAGCCACTGCCTAGTCTGAGATTTGCAACAAAACCTCTGGATCAGGAGAACTTCTGTGGTGTGTTTCCAGCTCCCTGAGAGACTGATAGGTGTCTGACCGATGGGGCGCAGAGTAATGGGTATAGTCCCGAGTCAAGGGATGAAGAACCCTCCACATATATACCAGGTAAAGGTCAATGAGGCGTTTTTTGAGTATACGCAGTTTGGAGAAAGACACCGTAGAGCGACCTATCGAGGAGTCTAGACCGGGTTCAAGAGTGAAAGCTGCCGTTATTTGGTTAGTGTTCGGGAGGTAAAAGTTCGCCAGCGTATAGGTCCTACCGCAGAGTGACAGCTTGAGCAATATATATCTACCAAACTCATCTAGGCGTTGGTCCAAGACCGTCGCAGGGAGAGATTTGTGTAAGGCAATGGAGACTCCCCTAGATTTCTGTATACTGTTAGAGCTATGGTACTATCTGGTAAAATATAAAAAAAGAAAAAAAGTGCAGAGAAAAAAGGTACAGGTGAGCAGAGAGAGAAAGAAAAAACGCACAAAACAAACAAAAAAGACGAGAAAGGGCAGGTTACCCTGCCTCTAAAATCGTACTTTTTTAAATTACCTTACAACCATCGCAAGACAAAAGTCTTGCGATGGTTGTAAGGTCTATGGCCACCTTAAAGGGGTTCTAAACCCTCCGTTTTTTTTGCTTATATCTACAGCGGGGGGGAGGGGAAAAATGTTTTGCCTTTAATATCACTTTAAGAGAGAACATGTATCAGGATTGCGATGGCTTGAAATTGGATACAGTTTGGTCCAGTGTGTGAGAATACAAAGAGCTCTTCAACAGCTGATCAACTCTATGCATGCCCAAAACAGGATTCATTTTCAAACCATCACAGTCCTGATACCCGTTTTCCCCAGGTAAGGCCTAATGAAGGGGGTATTTCTATGAGCCCCCGATACACGTTGGATATTTCTATACTATCTCTTTGGATGCATAGATGTGTTGGCTTTCTTTTTTGTACTTTTCAAGCCAAGTACATTTTCTGCAAGTACAGAGAAAACAGAATTCCAAAGTCGAACTTCCTGTGCACTATACATTGTTTGAGGTTTCCGTGATCTACTTTTTTATTCATTCTCCTTTTTTAAAGGCTTCATGGCAGTCACATGAACATTGACCAAGATATATTACATATTTATGTACAGAATCATTTTAAAGTGAGGCTACCAGGCAAACAAAAAACGGTATAATAAGCAGGTGACACATTGCCATTTTACAGAGACAATGTAAGCAACTTTGCCAGTTATCTTCTATGAACTACAGATCACCTCCTCACTATGTAACAGAAATGAGAAGTGGAGGTGTTTGTAGCCCTAATCAGGAGAGCAGCCTGGGATGGCAACGCTGCTCCTCCATAGATGCAGTGCAGTGAGTAAAAGTTATCCCTCCAGAACAGCAACTGGTACAGGCAGGATCACAAGGTGAAAAGAAAGCCTTACAAAAAGGGGAATTAAAAAAAAAAAAAAAACACAACAGGATTTTTGCTTTCATTAGATGATGGAAGTCAGCAGAGCTTCTCCTCATTCACTAAGCTAAAGTGAACATTCCCTTGCAAAGTGAACGGCCTATTTGCCTTTAAAAAAACAAATCAACTCCTTTGCGTCTGGCATCTTGGTGCTGGAAGACTCTGCATCATGCAGGTGACACCAGGATGTAGAATAAGCCCTAAAGATAGTGCTCTGGGAAATTACTCAGTGTTCTTCCTTAAATTGGATGTCCGTTTCTGAGGACAGATGAAAACATGGGCAATTCAAACAGCAATTGACCCTCAGAGGAACTTAGACCCGGGGCAGCAGCCCAGATCATTAATATTGTAGCTTGCTTTTGACTCGTCAACTTCCTTAAACACAATTCATATTCACTATTTTCTTGTGAACTTGAGGCATTTATTGGAATATTTGTCTCCTCTGACTGAAATAGTTTAGGATTTTAATGAGCTATTCTTCAAGTAAAGAAAAATGTGCTGTGCAGTACATCCACATAAACATGGGTCAAACAATCCATACGCTAGCCATATGCCAGTAAAATTTCATTCAAACAGGATGGAAAATTATTCTTGAAGAAATGAAATTCTGACAGTGAATGTGGTTTTCACTCAATAAACTCTTAAATCAGATATGAACATCGAACAAATGAACAACAAGGTATGGTCAGCATAAGAAAGGTTCATTGAACCCTTTTGATGGCCGTCAGCAGTATAACACATGATACCGAAGTATAGATTTACTGACAATAACAAAGTCTGGAAATGTGACTGTCATTCAATAGTTTGTAATATTCTGCCACTGAAAGCCTTGCAGTAGCTTCACATACCAGTAAAACTCAAAGTTTTTAACGGTAAACATAACATTTGTTTTATTCATTTGAAATAACCGACATCAGAAAAATAGCAGCAATCATAAACATGAAGCATTTGTAAGGGCTCTACCATTGAGCAGTAAACCTAATGAAGAAAACAATTCCAAGGTAGAATTAGTGAAGTCCCTGATCATCTCTGTGCAATCTGAAGTGCTCTGACAATGTATCATAAAAGGAATTCTATTATTTTCTATGTGGCCCATTTACACATATGAATCAAGCTTCCATGTGACTTGAAATAAAGTAGAGGAAAAAAGGCACCAAAAGAAGCACTTGCATTTTCCACCTTTTATTGGCCATAGAAAAAAAAACAAAAAAAACTCATAAACACATGATAAACATGCAACAAAGACATGCTACAAAACACATGAAAATGCAGACACACAAATATGAATGGAGGCTAAGGGAATAGAGGCAGTTTACATTGCAAATTAAATGTTGGTAAATAAGGCGGACCTGTGTTTACTTTAAATACCCAATCATATACTAGCAGCGTCACCCTATTTACCAACATTTGCTTTGCAAAGTGAACAGTCTGTCCTTTGTTCTGCATTTTTGAATGTATTTTCGAAGTGCCAGGGTTGCCTTTAGTTCTGTAGGAGCCGTACTAGTTGTCATATTTCTGTAACCGTGCTAGGGGGTTAATTTATGGAAGAGCTGGGTGTTCTGGGTACAGCTGTTACAGAGCTGCAGAAGTAAAGCTGGAGGGACAGTGATGTGGGATGTATCACCTGGTTTAGCACTGGTTTCTCCTCTGTAGGTTGTTTTTTTCTATTTCAGCAGTGAGAACATCACTGTAGCTTGCAACTCACAGACAACCAAATTTCTTAAAGCGATCTTTGAAAACAGACATACATAGGGGGTCAGGGCCTAATGGTATAGAAGGCAAGCTTAAAGTAAACCTGGTGCCAATTTGGGAGAGCAACAGGTTTTCTTTATAGCCCACATAATCTGCTATTAATACTTACCACCCCTGCATTGCCCCACGTGCCAGCCTCTCCATTTCACAGATAAGTACCTTCTCACCTGCTGGCTTGTGACAGTGTTTGGGGATTAACCACTCCTTGCATAGTGGGAGGAAGGGAGAAATTAGCATGCTATTCCATACCTAAAGTTTCAAATATTTAGGAGATTTGTCACCGACGATCGGGGTGGTGGGACAGGGAATGGAAGTATTAGTAACAGACGTGGTGGCCTTTAAAGAGAAAGTGTTACTATGCACGGAGTGGCATAGTAAAGCAGAAGTAACATGTTTTTGTTTTTTTTAATGCAAACACTCTGAAATTAGTAAACCTAATGCATGGACACTTGTAAAACTATGGGGTCTATTCACAAAAGGGTGAAGAGTTTGGAGAAGGCCGGATATGTGAACAATCTAGGATAACATAGCTGAACTGGAAAGTGAGGTGAATTGGAGAATTTTTCCAAATCGGCTATTTTGTCCTAGATTGTTCACTTCTCCTGACTTCTCCAAACTCTTCACCCTTTTGTAAATAGACCTGTATGTGTTATAGCTTATCCAGAAGAAGCTGCTGAAGCTGTCCCAGCTGCTGTGAAAGAATAATGCAGGATCTGAACTCTCTATGGCCTCTTGGTTTCAGCTTATCTGGTTGTATAGGGAAGAGGTCATAGACTATCCACACCTCCCACTTAGTACGTCATTGTGGTCTTATATTTGAATAAGGGGCATAGTCCATCAGTGCACAGAATAGTGTGGCCCCTTGCAGTCCAGCCCTGTATTCTCAGCTGCCTAAGTTGACAAGTGCATTTCTTATAACCTGGAAAATGGCTTATGGAAGAGCAAGAGACATAGATGAGGGAGGGACAGAACTGCCCCTTGCCACGCCCAGTTGCTGGCAAAGAATGAAAATGGTTCCCACAGAGAACTTCCTGTGAGGGAATGATTCCATTGTTTCCTAAAGATGGTAGTATCCCTTCATCACCCCCCCACTAAGGAAGAGACTTGGCAAAATTTAATGTGGAGAATATGTTGGATGCGATATGGATAATACAGAAAGTAATACAGATTTGCCAATATGCATGAATGCACAATTTAATTACCAACACTCTGAAACGTGCAATTTCAATGAGTTTGTAATTAAAACATTTTTATCTCGTTTTTCACTTTAAGATCACCCTTCTAGAATACAAAAATAAATCTCCATAACTGGGATAACGGCAGCGCTCTCTTCTACCATCTTCCCACAAGCTGCATTGCTCACTTCAAAATAACATGTGCACTTTAAACCCGACAGTTCATTTTAGGTCTTTCGTTCTTCTTAAGGGCGGCTTTTTGATAACAATTTTAAATCAAACAATTCTTCTCCATTCCGTAGTCGTGTGGCAAATATATGGCGGCAGGGCAGAAGACTAGAGTTGTGGATTGTACAGCTACAAGTCACAAGACTCAGATCCATAAAAAATTCCGACACACCATCAAAGAGCAAGAAGCCCTTAGAAGTTTGTTTGATGTGGTATTTGCAGTCCCTTAAAAAACTAAGCTCTTCTTCGATCATACTTGCCTCGTCCGGTGTGCACACCGATTTGTACCGGGAAGCGATTTCCTTTTCCTTTCTCTGTTGTTCTGTCTTGACAGAAATTGTTGTTACGAGATGCTGAATGCATTCAGCCACCGTTGCATTAGAACCCAAGAGGTCACTCATCTTTTGGTTATGCTGAAACACAATCTCGGACGTATCTATTCGTGCAAAATTGAAGGCCCAAATATCAACCCACATTTCACGGCATGTATGCCACTGATCCATGAAGTATTTTACAAAGCTATCTGAACAATAGAGACCCAAGCTTCTGACTGTTTTATTGTAGTCTTCAGGACTTTTAGAAGAAACTATACGAGAAAAGAGAGCCAAAAGTTTTGCCTCCTCTGTAACCCCCATTTCCAGGGCCTTACAATGCAAGGTCGGGAGAACTTGAGAACGTAAGATCTGAACTGTAGCGTGAGGAAATATTTCTTTCACCACTTCCTTCTCCCCAATATCAACCCCAACTGCTACACATCGTACCCTGAATTTAATATTGGGGACACTTTGCACGAGTGAGACTGAAGCAAAGCGTAAAACATTAGTCGTTTCTTTCCTAACTATTATATAAGCACAGTCTTTACCTTGTGCATTCTGATCTGCACAAACGAAACTAAACAAGTCAAAATCTTCATTGACCCTCAAGACCTTGTTAAAAAATAGTACTGTGGGGAAATGCTGGCACGAAGACACCATCTCTGTAGTGACCAGAAATACCATCTTGATGATGACCTGATCCTCTAAAAATATTAATTTCACTTTTGCATCTAGGTCAATAGAAAAAAGACTGTCCAGTGAATTAAGTGTGTCCATGATCCCGTTATCCTTAGTTTTGCAATTGGACAAAAGGTGTTTAATATCCAGAGATCCCACAAACTGCTTGGAGATCTTGTTGGTGATGCGTGTAGGGAGACAGCAGTTCGCCAACAGAAGCCCTCTTTTGAAGTAGTAGTCAAACTCGATAGGGCATAATGGGTGGTTGTGTTGTAACTGGCACTTAGTGATGCAAAGTCTGTTCTTCCTCTCACTCAGCTTTAGGAATATGTAGGCGCTACAACCCTGCTGATCTCTTGAATCTTCTTCATCAGATGCACAATGCTCCTTTCTTTCTTTAGGTGCTCTGAAAAAATAAAAGGCTAAAATAAGTATTTTTCTGCCTAAATCAATGCAGAGGTGGCACTAGAACAACTCACACTACACTTGTACAAGTGCGTCTATAATAATGACAGATGTAGGGAAGAGGTGGACACCGGGAGAAGCAGCAAGAAGTAAAACAGACGTCCCAATCTGGTACAGAAGGGGGACCAGAATTGTACCTTCACTTCACACTTACATGCCCCTCTGAAGAAAGGGCATGGTCCAGAAACATGTCAGTTTATAGTGGTGGTACCATTACCACCAAGGTTACAGTTATGGTTGCCCCTCCTGTTCCAGCTTGGCATATGTTTGTATTTTTCTTCCTGTTGGTTCTCCCATTGTCCATATCAGAACCCATATTGGCTTGCACCCTCTTTTATTGTTGACTATTAAGTAGGAGAGGTAAAGCATCTGTTGGTATGACCTGGCATTCCTCTGGATGATTTGTCTTGGTGATATATTCTTATACAAATGTCTGCCGATGCAAATAGTTAGACAGATAAAGACAAGGACATACTTGTTGGTACTCTTACAGTTCATTTAAACAATGCTGCATTCCTCCTGAAAAAGTGATGGAATTCAAATCAAATGCCTCATATATACCTATACCTCCGTTACGTCAGAGTAAAACTCTCTTGGTGCCCTAGAAAAGATTTTAAATAATCTTATCAGTGATATTTTATACTAACTGTTTTCTGTAATTAGTATCACAGATGTCTTCATTCTAGTATTCTGTCAGTCAGCCTATTTAAATGGAGGAAAGTAGTCTCTCTGCTGTTTGGCATCATTGTGTGCACCACGCTGAAGAGGGAACAGAGAACGCAAAGGAGAGAGCTGTCTGAGGAGATCAGAAAAAAAAAAGGATTATAGATCAGCTCGTCAAAGGAAAAGGCTTTAAGACCATATCGAAGCAGCTTAACATTCCTGTGACTACAGCTGCAAATATTAAGAAGTTTAGGGCCATGGGCGTGTAAGGCCCATGGGCGTGTGGTTACGTGAGACCAGCTCTGGATAATATGGCCACAAGTGGAAAATTAAAGTAGAATTAAAGTCTCCTTTGTTTTTGCATATATCTACTGCAGTAGAATTGGAAAAAAAAAACAAAAAAAAGACAAAAAAAAAAAACTTACCTGCGTCTCCGCCGCTCGCTCCTGTCTGAGCATCTGAAGCTTCTCGAGCGGCTGTGCAGGATGATGGGGCGGGCACCTGAGCAGTAGAGATCTTTGGGGGGAGAAGAAGAGGAGAGACACAGTGGTGCTGAATGCATGCAGCCGGGAGCGTGCACGTCGGACTCACACCGTGGGAAAGGAAGAGACAGCAGTCTGCTGGATCAGAGGCCGGCACCAGCGTTGAAGGGATTGCTGAATACAAAGTGGAAGGAAGAAGATGATCGGATCAAGAGGCATCATTTAAAGGCAAGTCCTTAAAAGCAGCATGGGGAAGGGGGTCGTGGGGGAGAATGTATGATTTTAATGCCACTTTAAGCCCAGATTGAACAGAAGGACAGTGCAATTAGTAGACAAAGAGACAAGGAAAACTAAAAGATACAAGCTAAACTCTATGGTCAAGGTACATCAGTGTCTGATTGCACTATCCATCACAAAAGCAAGAATGGAATTTGCTGAAATAGATACTGACAGGTCACAATGCTTCTGGGAAAATGTACTTTGGACAGAGGAGACAAACTGGGGAGTTTTTTGGTAAGTAACATCAGCTCTATGTTCACAGGAGGAAAAATTGGCTGCCATGGGATGTCTTAAATCTGGGAAGGTCTCAATGAAATCTCCAGACTATCAAGGAATTCTGGAAACATACATGGGTCCTCCAACAAGATCATATCCAAAACACACAACTAAAAGCACCCAAGAATGGCAAACAACAAAACATTGGACTTTTCTTAGCTGGCATTCTATGAGCCCTGACCTGAACATCGATAGAAAGAGCTGAAGCCTTCAGTCTGGTGAAGGCACCATTCAAACCTGACACACCTGGAGCAGTTGTCTCAAGTAGAGTGGGCCAAACTACCTGTTATCAGGTGCAGAAGTTTCATTGAAAGCTACAGAAACGGCTTGTTTGCAGTGATTACCTATAAATGTTGTACAACAAAATATGAGGTTAATGGTGCCGTCATTTTTGTCCATGACATTTTAATTGGTTTTAGTTTTTTTATATGCTGTGGAATCAAAAATCAAACGCAAACTCTGATTGTTATGAAATATGGAATAAACAAAGATGGAGGGCAATAACTTTTGTCAGTTTCAAGTTATTGCTGAGAAAAATGTGGGTTTTTATTTGTGGAAGAGTACCAATAAATGTGTCCACGTATGTAAATGGATGTACCACACAGTGGTCTGAGTATTACTGAAAGAAGGGATCGACAGCGTCATACGAAGGGGAATTGCACCAAAACATTGTGTTCTGGAAATAAAAGTAACCATCCTATTATCAGTGATGACCATGTTACCGCAATGCACAAACCAGGGTGTGGGTTCTTTTCATTTTGCATGGCACCTATTCAGGATACCACATTGAATGTGTGTTTCTATCTGTGAGTTGTAGCGTGCTATAAAATGTAAAAAAAAAGTGCTGGTGTGTTTTTTTTAAGGCGTGTGTTGTGGTGTGCTGCCAGCCCATTTAAATTGATTGGGCTGCTTGAATACACTAAAACGTGTTGCGTTAACAAAACTCATGGGGCCCATGTATAAATCTTCCAACCAGTGTAATGCTGCCATTCACACGGCATTACTGCTACTAGACGGAGCTGAGGCGCATAGGAATTTCTTATCCCCATCTAGTGGGGCTAATGCGGTGCAAACAGCATTTGCCCAGCTATAGTCTGGGCAGATTTTTACATTGCCCCCACAGTGTGAATCCAGCTTAAGTGCTTGTAACACAGGTGACTGTTGCGCATACAGGCAGTCCCCGAGTTACATACATTCGACTTACATACGACTCCTACTTACAAATGGAGGATATTACTGTACAGCAGGGGTAGTTGTAATGCTACCGCACTCGTACCGACGAGGAGTGCCTGCCTTTTTGGGTCTGGTTCGCACATTACAGGAAGTTGGCTCTTGTTAGACGTGCAGATGAAAAGGGAAATTCCGGAAGGGAAATTCACTCCTGTTAAAGGTGCCCATACACTGCTCGATTCTCGTACGAGAATCGCGGGAAATCCTGCGATCGTACGAGAATCGAGCAGTGTGAACGGAGACGTGCGACCGTTTCTACTGTACGGTCGCACGTCTTCCGTCGAACCAGCATGTTCGAAAACCAGCCGGGAATCGTACGATTCTCGGCTGGTTAGAACGGTGCTCGGAAGACAAAATGCTGAACGGGCCGGTGTGCGCACGCGCACACTGCCCGTTCAGCATTGCGGTCATCGGAAGCCCGCCCCTCAGGGGGGCGGGCTTGCGATGATCGAGAGTGCGATCTGCCTGTCCAAGATAGGCAGATCGTACGTTTTTTTAATCCCTTTACAACCATCGCAAGACTAAAGTCTTGCGATGGTTGTAGAGTGTATGGCCACCTTAAGAGTGATCTTGGGGAAAAAAGGTGTCTCCGCTAAAGCTTAATGACCAATCCTTGTTTCCACCACAACCCAAGATTTTCAAAATCAAATTGTCACAGGGACGGAAAGTGAGGTGAAATCTTGTGAACAGGGGCACACACAGCAGAACAAACTTTACAGGGGGTTAACCCTTCCCTATGCTATCCAGAACTAAAAAAAAATGTTTTGGCTGGAGTTGCACTTAAAAAATTTACCTGTTCCAACTTACATACAAATTCAACTTAAGAACAAACCTACAGGCTCTATCTTGTTCATAACCCGGGGACTGTCTGTACTTCACTTATCACAAGTGCTCTGTGCATTGCCTTACTAAAAGAGGTAAATCCAGTCTGCCCCACAAAAGTAATTCGGGGTCCCCTCTTACCTCTCACTCCATTAGTGGGGAGCAGGAAACGTCCAACAGGCGCAACACGAGCTTACACAGGGCTAATTATCTTCGCTCCTGGCACATGAACGTCAGGAGCGAAGAAAAGGTGACTATGCAGCTCACAGGTTCACATTAAAGACTCCTTTGGTATTCAATATAAGCCTGTTGGTTTTCCGGCATGGGGAAAGCACGGGGTCACTTTAAATAAAAGGCAAAAAGATTAGGGGCAGGAGTGTGGGTGATTGTTACCTGACCATCATACTCACATGATTTCCTTCTTGTTGGATACATGGACATTTTTGCAGAATAGGCGGGCCGAGCTGAACTTCAGAGCTTCCACCATTTCCCACTGGAGACTCTCATTGGCCCATTTACACTTGTTTATTGGGATGGAATACCGAAGAAAGAAGAGAGCTTTCCTCTTCTCACACCAATCATCGAAAAAGGTGCAGAAGTCCTCCCAGGAGCAAAACTCCATCAACAGCAGCTCCGTTTCATCCATTGTGGGCAAGACTAGAAGAGAAGTATGCAAACAATTTTACATATATAATAATATAAGACTTACACCCAAAACATAAAAAAACACAATGGTCTGAATTTCCCCAAAGGGGACATAATAAATGTTAACAAAGCTGTAAAGCCAAACTCTAGGCAGATAGAAAAGAAACAAATCAACAATGCAGCTCTGTAATTAATACATCAGTATGTGTATTTTTTAAATGCAAGCAGTGTAAGCACCTGAATATAACCGGGTACCAGCCGCCTTCAGAGAGGAAGAAGCAGACAAGATGCTTATCAGTTCATGTGCTTACAATAGAGACACACCATCATTGTGCTGCTCCTCCTTACTGTCCAGTCACATGTTGGGGGTGGGTTCAGGATGGCCTGGGCTCAGTGAAAGTGTGTCAAATGATGCCGGTCACTGACATCTGGGGGCAAGAAAAATACTGGGGGATATTCTTGGATTGAAGGTAAATATTTCATGGTGCACCCATAATCAAGGTAACACTGACAACCCCCGCACCCTAATCATGGGGTTCTTCCTGCTGGCTCCTGTCAGTATTTGAAATCAGTGCGTGTGTATGTGGCCGTGGCTCCGTTCACAGATCTATTGACACTCTGGGCAAAATATCACCCTCCTCCTCCCCCCATTCCTCCTGCCCTTATAACCCATCCTTCAGGGTCCCTTGTCAGGCAGTGTGTGTGTGTTAATCCAGCGGTGTGTGTGTGTGTGTGTGTGTGTGTCCAGCGCTGCAAATGGCCTCTCATTTACACCTAATCGTCTTGTAGCGCGTTTCCTTAAAACTGACTATGCTCAACATGCAGAATCCTATCTATAGCTGGAGAGAAGCTGGTGAAGCAGATCTGTGCTTCATCAGCTTTTTTTGGAGGTCCCTGGGTGACATTAGGGATCTTAAAGAGCCCTGATGTCTCCATAAAGAGTACCTGTCATTGTAAATTTGATATCACATATGGAGTTTCTTATCCCCTATGTGACAGCTATAAAGTTAAGAAGATTATAATATATATATCCCCGCCCCCACTTACACACACAAATATGCCTCGGGTGCACCTACGTACGGAAATGACGATTGCGCCAAACATGTTACATATCACCATGAACGTCAGAGTGAGAGCAATAATACCAGGGTCATCAATCACAGCTAACACTAAACTGGTGAGTGGTAAAAGCTTTTGGATACACGTCTTCTGCAGAAAATGTGACAGCCGCGCTAAGGCACCTCCTATAGTGCAGTCCTAAAGGTGGCCATACACTGTACAATCCTTTTGTCTTGCGAGGGTTGTAAAGTAATTTAAAAACACGTACGATCTGCCCATCATGGACAGGCAGAGCGTACTTGCGATCATCGCAAGCCTGCCCCGCTGACAGCCTGCTTGTTCGACGGAAGACGTGCAATCGTACAGTAGAAACGGTCGCACGCCTTCCATACACTTTGCGATAATCGTACTGTGTATGGGCACCTTAACTCTAAAAGCTATCAGAGTCTGCACCTGGGAGCACTTGGGGGCAAAAGATAAAATCTGCACCCAATTTTATCTTCTGCCCCATGTGCTCCAAGATGGAGGCTCTGATAGTTTAGAGTTAGGACCGCAATATAGGAGGTGCCTTGGCGCGGCTGTGCGTCTTTCACATTTTCTGCAGAAGACGTGTATCTAAACCTCTGTTTTTAACCTTAGCGGTGAGACAAGTTTTTTTAGGGCTGGTAAGGATTAAAAATTTCCTGTTCGATTAATTTCGATTAATTATAACGCACATACACATTCAACTACATTGGCCTATACACATCAACAGCACAGCAATAAAGTAATAAAATTAACTAGAATCACACTAATCCAGCACGTTATTAATCTCACATGCCCCACTCAATATGGCCGCCGCTTGAGTGGGGCAACTCAGAATAATAACGTGCTGGATTAGTGTGATCCTAGTTCATTTTATTACTTCATTGCTGTGCTGTATGTGTATAGGCCAATGCCAGGGATCCCAACCTGAAATAAGCAATTTCAATGAGGTGTCCCTCTCATTTCAGGGAGGTGCCCTCTCCCCCCCATCCGCGGAGGGGGGGTTAGGGGGGGCTGGGAGGGAGCACCCCCCTGAAATGATGGCAGATAGCACAGGAAGCAATCGCTTCTTTGCCATCTGCACTTTTTTTTTTTTTT